TGTTTTTAAATTCTTCATCTGCAAACTTCAAATCTGTCTTTGCCAATCAGAGATGACAGCAGATCACTAGCTTTCTGGTGAAGACATGGATATGTGTCCAGAACACCCAGGGTGAAAGGTAAAGTGATTGGGTACAACATTTCTTCAGTTGTTCCTCAATCACTTTCACCTCACATGTTCTTTACAGTTGTAGCAGAAGCATCCAGAATCACAGGCCTGGCCTTTCTCCTATTGGATACAAAGGTGCTCAATTTTCTCTTTACTACTTGATTCTTCTTCTCCACCACACACACCACAAATTCATACCCAACAGCCAACTTTTAATCACATCTTCATTTTACTCATTGGCTCTGGATTCTAGAATATTCGTTAACTCATGGAGACATGTTTACAGAACTCACCTAGCTGAGCTTTAAGAACGTCCACAGTCTTCTAAACGTGTCTCAGCATGAGACTCACATCTACTCTTCAACACAATCGTGCATGTGCTGGTCTGAGAGCACTTTGCTCATTTGCACCTGCTGTGTGTAATCCATGCCAGAATGACAGCACAGCCGCACCAGGACACCCAGGGCCAAACTAAGATTTCAGGTCACACCCTCTGTCATGCTCTTTATTTAATCACATTATCAGGTGAGATACTGCTTTGATGAACATTTGCCGAATTGAAAATCAAATATCTGGTGAAATGATTTTTTAAAAGGCTTGCAGATCTTAGTCAATATCATGTCTACTTTCTGTACTTATTAAGACTGTCATTTATTAGTATGTCACTATCTTTTCATGAAAACGCCTTATAAGTGAACAATAGTAATAAATAATAGTAACAACAAAAGGAGTATTTCTGCTGCATTTAGGAATTGTGATGAAAAGAAACTCTTTTACAGTCTCTTTTGTTCTGTAAGAATGACCCAGTAGAAGGAAGAAATCAAGACCTGTGATTAAAGTGGCTTTAGTGATTATAAGAGTCACTCCAGGAAATATGAACATTCTTGAAAGAGATGAATATCAGATATTTTCCTGAACATGGCACTTTTCATATCCCAGAACAAATCCCAGAACAGCAGGATTTTAAAAAGGACCTTAAACTTCTTCTTTTTTTTTAATAATCATTAAAGATAAGAGAGCATTGGTTTTTATAGCTGACACTTAATTAACACAGTTCTTCTAGGAAATAAAAAGTCCTTACAGCAGTTACTCATCCACCTCACAAGTTTCTCTTGATTTCAAAAATGTTCACTTATACAGAGGATGTTAGAATACTGTGATGAAATCAAGCAATGTAGAGCTCAGACCAAGTAAAAACAAATATGAAAACTTGTTGCTACCCAAATTATTATCTTGATGTAAATTTTAAAATTATCTTCTGGTTTTTATTGTATTTGAAAATCAGAAACTGAGCCATCTTTTACCTGCTGGTTCCTTGCCCAAATGCTTGCAACACCCAAGGAGGGTCAGGAAACAACCAGAATACATGTAGGTCTCCCACATGGGTGCCAGGGACCCAGGTACTTCAGGCATCCTCTGCTAACTTCCATTATACCCATTACCATGAGGCTGGATCAGAAGTACAAGTGGAGATTCAGCAACAGCTCCCATCAAAGGCCTGCCTCAGGCTAATTTAATTTTACAACAAACTAAATATTTTTATATTCCTCAAGTGTTTGTGTTCCATATGAAATTTATTGTCAATAGTAATACGGCAGAGAGAATTTTATTACTCAGCAGCAGCCTCTCTCTCAATATATATATATATGTATATATATATATATAAATTATAGTCTGTGGATACTGAACATGAAACTAGATTTAGCCCTGTAATGATGAAAACGTGGATTTTGTGGTTAAACAGGACTGGGTTCTAGTGTTAAATTCTACGCATCCTACCTATGTAGCCAGGGAAAGTTACTTAACCTCGCAGGATTTCTGTTTACTCATCTACTTTATAGGGTTGCTGTGAAGATTGAGATAATTTGTTTCAAGTCCCTAACACAGAATGCATAATGTGGTATTCAGTCATGATTAGCTTTAATTTTCATTATTGTATTGACACATGTTTCTATTAAGCATTTCCATGATGGAAAAATCACAAAACCTAACTGGCACTGATATTTACTTATGTTATTACATTTCATGAGTCATGCCTCTTGCAGCAACCAGAAGGTTTTATATACCTTCTTGTTGGGGAAAAGAAAGAGACAGTTTTGAAATTCTTTTCCTATGAGTATTTTTATATTATTAGACAATAGTTTATGAGGAAATTAGGATTAGAGACTCTATATTGACCTACCTCATGAAGAGATATTTATAAATAATGATAGTAACACTTAAGTCATCAACACGATTGGTTCAGTAGCATTTTTACAAAAACACCTGTGAGAGAATGAAATGGTTTCTAATAAGGCAGAAGATAGTACCAAATCAAACTCCATTCAGCAGAGGCAACTGTCATATGAATTTTTAGATATTATAAGCAAACTTGAGGACATTTTTATTTGGAAAGACCTTTTTCCCCTATGAGCCAGTGGATCTTTACAACTTGGAATTGAAGTTGATATATGGTTCTGCAGAGTTTTTTTTTTCCCCTACAGTCTACATTTTCATTTAGGAGATATTCACACTGGAAAAAAAAATGAAAGAAAGAAAGAAAGAAACTGCTTTGTTAGCGTGCATCGAAGTAGGTCAGCTCCAAGAGGGCAGAGAGCAAGTTAAAGGAAGAGGACATGGACTCTTTAGAAGGAGGCAGAAAATCCTAACGGCTGACCCCACTGGCAGGTGTTCATTATTGGCGTGCTTCCGTGAAAAAGAATGGAGCATGCTAAATTGTAGGCGTGTTGGGAACAGCTCTTTCCTCCCAGGGCCAAGATCAGAGAGTTTGTAATGCCTCGTATTTAGGGCAGGGATATTGAAATACGAGGCAGGCTATCAAGGAACGCACATCATAAATGGTAATGAAAGTGTCTGGACGGTTTCTAATGAAGTGCTAGCCAAAAGGCAGCTTCAGAGAATAGCTCTTAAAAAAAGCACTGCCAAACACTGATTTTAATCTAACATTAGCAGAAGTTTTACAGTTGTTTTTTAATCCCTTTCAAAAGAAAAACAAGAACTATTAGAATCATTCTGTACTCTGAATTTACACCCCACAGCAGATTTTCATCTTCAATTTTCACTCTGTTTTGCCAAAATATCTTGTTATTGCACATGTGAATTGAACAATTAACAAGATTTTACCTCCTACATGATTAATTGCTTGCCAAATCCAATGAAGTTCCAATTGATGTACACTGGTATGGTCTACCTGTAAAGCAAAAATAAAATGTGATGAAATTTCCCTTGAAAATTTTCTTACATTGATAGCATAGCAGAATACAAATGACTTGACGTATGTATAATCCCTCTTGTACTTTTACTCACAGTAAAAATTAAGGAACACTGAATTAGAAAGGTCGAAAAGGCCAAAATAAATAAAACACAGAAATAAAGCCTAAATGCAGATAATTGTCTCTAAGTTTAAACGGCTCTGCTTTGAAGGAGACAATCTATTGTCCGGTGAATGCTGAGAGAGTAGACAGTTCCCATGTGCACCTGTTTATTGTACAATTTACTCAAGTCCATTTGAATATAAATTTTCGGTGACATTAGCAGTTGTCTTTTGATTTCTTTGTCAGTGTGAGGTTTAAACATCATGGTACCAACTCATCTTTGGCATGTGGTGAGAATCTGACCCATGTGGAAACAACCCTGTGGACAGTCTCACAAATCAAACAGGGCTGACATTTCAGAGATTTATAAGAGGGACATCCTTGTGGATTTGTGAAGCACAAAGACCTTGAAGTTCTGATGGCTGGTGTTTCCTTCAGTCAGAAATGATTTTTCTCTGAGGGCATTAAGGAGGATGAGGAGCTTCTTAATTTGCATTGCATGATTCTGGTAAAATCTTGTGATCAAGGCAAAAATATGCCAAACTCACTTAGCTTCTTCCCCTGTTCACCCTTGATGGGAGCCTGAAAAGTGGAGCTGATTATATCAGATGCTCAGTGAGTACTGTTGCATTTGACGGAAGCTACAACCCTATCAACTATACTTTTGAGTGTAAAAAAAATGATCATATATCATTACAATTGATTTTTTTTTTTTATTGTTGCTTACATTGTATTATGTAGTACAGTTTTATAGGCGCTGGGGATTCCCCCCACCCCTCCCATACCCCTCCCCCCATGGTGGATTCCTCCACCTTGTTGCATAACCATAGTTCAAGTTCAGTTGAGATTCATTGCTTACAAACACATGCCTAGCATAAAGTTCAGCGTCTTATTGTCCAGATAAGTTCAGTGGCCTCTTGGGGAGACCTTAAGAATGGAACTTGCATTATTTTTAACATATTGTTTACCCAATACTATGTCAATTAATTCCATAATGTTGTATATTGATACTGAGGCCTTGTTGGGGCTTTTAACTGACCGGATCTTTACAATTGATTTTTATGTTGCAACTTTTTTGGCCTATCAGTCCACTGTTTTGTTTTGTTTGCTGAGCCTTAGAAATTCTCCATGACCGTGGAGGTAGAGTGAACTCTAATGTTGGATGGCTCAACCAGCCTGTCTGAAAAAGAAAGCTGTAGACATTCTAAAGATTACCTAGCTCTTTTGTTGGTATTACAAAAAAAAAAAAAAATCAAAAGTTACAAAGTTCATGACATACAAAATCTAATAGAAATTCCTAAAGACCAGAAGTAAGTCTCCCCATTCCATGTTTTCATCTTATAAATAGGTTTTGGACAAGGCCTTGTTTGATGAAACCACACAACATAATTATACGTGTATTATGATATCTATAAGCTGAAATCCTATTTCTCATGATAGAATTCTCTTAGCCAGGAATGGGAGATAAGAGTGGACTCAGTATGTTCCAAGAAACAGTAAAACCTAAAGATAGACACATGCGCTCACGGATCGTTTGGCTGAATTACAAACACAATTGTGCCCTGTTTTTCCACACAGCCTCCATAGTGATTGGGAAATGGTGGTGTGAGATGGAGCCTTGTCTAGAGGGAGAAGAATGTAAGACACTCCCTGACAATTCCGGATGGATGTGCGCTACAGGCAACAAAATTAAGACCACACGAGTAAGTTCCCTGATTTCAGATGTCTCATGTGTGTTGCCAACTGAAGTTTTTCCTTGGTGTTGTGAAAACAGTGTCTAGAGAAACTCTGAAAATGTGAAAAACTTTTCTGGCTGAACATGTTCTTAAAGGTGTAGATTAGTTTCTATTCGTGAGTGAGTCAGATGTTGTACTTGAATTTTCCCCAAATGAGCAATTTAGTGTTTCCGTTACAGATTGATAAATAAAGCTGGGTTGTTATAGCCTGAGGAAAAGGGAGCAATGAGATAATTATTCAAATAATTCATACAACAGTGGGACTCAGAATGACAAATAAGGGCGTCATTTAATTCATTCAGATGCTTTCAGTTCTTTAAAGGAATTGTTGAGAAGGGAGAGGTTTTTGTGAAGTGTCATCATCTTTTCTCTTGCTTTGTGGAGTAATTTTCAAAATATACAATGACAGCATATAGGGTAAGTCTATCCAACCCATAAGAGTTGGTGTAGTGATCTGGAAACATGGTAGAGAGACTTAGCCAGGCCAGCCACACGCAGCTGGGAATGAACAATCTGGAAACTACAAAAGGGATGAGAGTTGGAAATTGTTTGGGAAACCAAACAGTGACAGTTTGACTGTTATTGTAAAAGTATGTCAATCTTTTGACAGCATACTCATGCAGGTATACCAACTGAGCATAAGCCTGGTGTGTGTATGTGTGTGTGTGTGTGAGTGTACATTTGTATATTGATCTATTTGGTTATTTTCTTAGAAATCCACTAGTAATATATCCCAATATATTATACCTTGAGTCTATTGCATGATTCCCCAATTTGAAAGGACATCTCATTCCATTCCCGTTATGAGTCTTCATGTGATCCTTCTCAGCATCATTTCGTCATAAGTATACTTGACTCTTCCATGTTTATAGCTTCATGATGAGAAATCTAAAGGTAATGTTGTAAATACTCTACAAAGCTCATATTTTCAAATGTAGAGTAAGTGTAGGTGCACTGAATATCAAATTCAGTGGCCTGTATGCACCATGGTAATTCTGGCCATACCCCTCTAGCCCGTGACCAGGAAGAACAGCTGAACCACCTGCATGGCCATACAACTGCATGGACCCAGGTGGTTCATCAGAGACTATTGTGTTCTTGAAAGGAATTTCAAGACAGACAAGAAGGGTCAAAAAGGATCCTGACACTTGCCATATTCCTACAGAAATGGCTTTACTTAGCCAGTGGATGGGGAGTATCAGGCTTCATTTCGGTTGTTTCTGCCCAAAAATGATTTGCCAAAAAATTTGAAGAGGCCCTTAAAATTGGTTTTATTTAAATTACTCTTAAATCTGTCTAGTACAGATGGATACCAATCATCTATTTTAAACATGACACTGCTACATTATTTTTTCCCAAAGCTTTATTCCAAAAATCCAAATGATAGTCTGTCACTCATTGTAAAGTTAAGGCCTAATCTCATGGTATTGCAGACCCAAAGCTCAAGCATAGCCAAATAAAGTTATAAAATCCCAAGAGAAATAAGAGATTCTTTTAAATATAAAATTGAAATTATTACTAATATCTTATTGCACTTTATTACTTCTGTTGATTTGGTCTCTGTGGAGTATATATAAAATTATCACAGATATTATAAACACACCCCCAGACATTATCTGGTATCACAGGAGTTGTGTGTAGAATTTGACTAGGGTTATAGAAGCTAGGGCACAAAATTTTACCACTATAGGCAGACTAAACACAGCACAGAGAGCTGAATGTCTAATGGAAACAAATCACCCTTGTAGTGGTTTAAAAGCAGAGGATGTACCTATCCTGACATACATATCTGTTTCAAGCGAGGGAATGAGAGACTGTGTCACAGCCATGTAAGCTATATAATAGTCAAGTGAGAATTCTAAAGACTGTACTTAAAGAAGGAAAAAAGAGGACTCTGAAAAACATATACCTTCAAGCTTTCAAAGGACTCCAACACTACTACTGACATACATAGTCTCCCCTACCTGCCCAGGAAATTCACAGTTTCACAGTTTTACACATAAAAGTCACCAGTAATTCCGGAGGATGCATGTAAGAGCCATCTGTTCTAGAAAAAAGACTTGACAGCCCCCGTCCTCACATCACAAACTCTGGAAAATTGTTTCTATTGGTTGTCTGTATTCCTGAGCTCCAGTGCACCTACACAACCCAAATATCGATGCCAGCAATTTTGCTTTTAATAATTTCATTTACAAATCTGTTTTATCATTCCAAGTTGTATCGTACAAATCTGTTTTATCATTCCAATTCATATCAAAGAGAGAAAGAACAAATTTAAAAAGCACATCTTTTGTTCTTGTATGCAATTATGATACAGAAAAAAAAACTCCCAGAAAGCAGAAGAGGGAATACTGTTGTGGTGCTTTGGGATAAGTTGCCACATGCAATAGCTGGTTCTGGTCCCTGCTGCTCTTCTTCAATTCTGACTCCCTCCTAGTGCACCTGGAAAAGCAGCAAAAGATTCCTGAGGTACTTGGGCCCCTGCCGCCTACATAGGAGACTCTTACGCACTTCCAGGCTACTGTGTTGGCCTAGCCCAGACCTAGCTGTTGGAGCCTTTTAAGGATTGACCCAGTAAATGGAAGCTCTCTTTCTCTGTCTCTCCCCTTCTCTCTCTTCGCCACTCTGTGTTTCAAATCAATAAATATTTTTTAAAAGCTGAAGAAGCAATCAAAATTATTAATGAAAATTGAGACTTGCCTTGATACTATTACTTTAAAAATAAATCCATTGTAAAATAATTGTTGGAAAAATTTTTAGGCTTCATTCTGTTTCCTTGTGTTAAAAAGATTAAAAAAATCATTTCATTTGTTAATCTGAAGAGAATAGATTTTATGTATTTCATGGGTAAAATCCTACTTTGTATGTTCCTTCCAAAGTAATCATGCTAAGAGAAAATTCTCAAGAGTCTTGGAAATGTAGATAAACAAAGGATGTTTAAAAGTTTGGTGTATTTAAAATTTTATGGTGTTCATTTTAAAAGAAATTAGAAATTCAGCTTTTCATCTAAACTAACAGATATGTGGAGTATGGATTAGCTTGGGTGACAGGCACCTTCAAAGGAAAACCTAGGGATACTGAATCTTAGTGAGATTAGCAAAGGAAGGAGAAAGAAGAGGTGAAACTAGGAAATGTTTTTGGATTATTTGGAAAAATAAGTCTTCAAAAACGAGGAAAAGCTCCTGGATGACATCTGTAGGAAAGAAGTTTTCTAACTGATATGCTTTCCAAACTGCAGCCTAGAGTATAATAAACTTGATATCACATCCTCTGAGAATAACTTTGATACAGCTGCATAGATTTTCATGGCAAAATTTTAACCTATCTAAAAGCAAAGTCACTTGAAGGAAAAATTAGCAAGTTAAAATGACAAAGCATAACCCAATGTAATACCAACCAATTTTGGATTTGCTCAATATAGCATGTGGATGTTACCCAGACTAGTGAAAACAATGAAAAATTAATTTACAAATTGTATTCTCTAAAGGAAGAATTGGTAGAACCTATATTGCATAAGTAACTACAATAACCACTTTGTCAAAGTGACCCAACACTAATCATCACATCATTTGTTCAAGCTCTGCTGGTCCTTCATCCTGACGGTAACCTAGATGTTGCAATTCTCTATTTCACTTGGCCCCGATGTTTTTACGATGTAGGAATGGAAAGCTACCATGTGGCATGCTCTTGCTTCTTTTCACTTGAAGTTGTGCATGATCTGAAAATTTCCAAGAGTTCATGACTTTGTAATCCTGACGTCCAGTTCATGTTTTCATGAAATATGCTTTAAGAGAAAGAGAAAATCTGAAATCTTGCTGTCCAGAAAATTAAAGAATTGGAAATAAGAAATAAACATTAATAAACTTGAAAATATAGAGAAATTTCAAGATTCCTGAAAGGAAGAAAGAGTAAACCAAATACTATCACCGTTGTTTCAGATTCATTTCATTAGCCACTAAATACATTAAAGCCACTGCTGTTGACATTTCTGGTGTTCACATCTTGTGGATGTGCTGGTCAACATAACAGAGTCCCTGGTCTTCCACAGGGAATAGAGATTAGGCTTGATTGCAGAGGAACAGAAAGAAAATTTCCATTCTGTTTTTGAAGCACCACTCTCTCCTTTCCCAAAGTAAGCAAAAGGACAAGGCCACAGGAATGTAGGATGTGAAATAAGGCCAAAAGAAAGGATGCAAAAATAAATGCATGGATATTTCTCATATACTTTGACCTTGGCCCAACCAACTTTTGAATGTAAAGTTTTGTTGCTCTTCTTGTCTTGCCCTAAAAGCTTCAAATGGACTTTATTTCTGGGCTCCAAGACCGCAATTTCTAACACTGTGAAGAATTTGAAGATGATAAAAAAAATGTATAAGTCCTTGAACTTTAGAGACTTCAATTCTATGACAGTCATTAGTTACACTGTCAACCAGTAGTTCTCTGTGCATGCATATCTGAATATTTGACTTGGGGAACCCTATTCAAGTGGAATAAGTGAGCTCAATAGTTATACAAGTGTATTCTTGATCAGCCTTATCACTGTGTCCTTCAGTAGAACATTTCCTCTTCTTGCCAGTCTAACCTCTGTGATAACTTTGCTTTGCAACACCCCTCTGCATCAGTCCACCTTGCCAAGACCTTGAAGTGACCTACTCAGGTCCAATTCACACCAGATAGGCACAGGAACAATTGTATCACTTGAAAGTCCCAGCAAAAAATGAAAATGAAGCATTTTTACTCAAAAATTAGCAATGAGTTTAAGTCAATGACAGCACTGCTGTAAGCCAAGTGTGAGGCCCTGATAGCACTGATCTCTACGCAGCAGCAGAGGTCACACATTCGTGAAGAGAATTCCAGAGAGAAATTGTTCCCAGAGTCTCCCCTCAGTTACAGTACTAATTAACTGAATTATTGATGAAAATATCATACCCTGTCAAATATGCCTTGATCACCATTTGAGAACTGCGACTATATTAAAAAAAAAAAAAAGAGTTGTTTCAACTTCAGATCATCTAAAGGAAGAAGCATCATCAAAATTCACGATGTTCTCATTTACTGCATCATCACATTTCTTTGTGTCTTCACTTAGTATTTCTGTCCCTGAAATTTCTTTCTTTCTTTCTTTGGTTTCAGATTCACCCAAGAACCTAACAGAAGCTTTTGTGGTAACAAAGGAAAACCAACCTTGTGGAAAACACACTTTGAGAATTTCAAACATCCTACTCACTTACAAACCAAATGGATTTCTTATTTGCACTTTGACTGGTTACTAGATAATCATAGTGCATTTACTGTGTGTGATGAAGCATTTGTTAATGAGAACACTGGCAACTTGGAGTTTCTGGAAAGTGGATTTTCACAAAGGGTTTTCTTGATGAACACTTTTGGGCATCATGAAGAAGGATCAACTGTCTTCTAATTTGGATCTACAGTTACTTTGTACCATTTGAAATATATGTGTATATATAATATTTTGAGATATTATATATTCTCTTCGAAAATGAACAGTATCACAGTTTGAAATGGCTGGTGTTATCTCTTTGAGTTTTGGATGTCTTATCTGTTTTGGTTGGGTTTTGTCATTTTTTTTTTCTCTCTGCAAGGAAGATATGTGCACTTTTGGGAATTCAACATGGCACTGCCACTGGAAAGCCAGCTACAAGTGGACTCCTGGAATTTGAGGCATCGTAATGATACTGAATCAAGAGCTTCCTTCAGTTTCTACTCCATGGCCCCAGGAAGCACATCATCCTGTTTTATTGCTTTCTACCCTGTGCAATATTAGCATGCAAGCTTGGCTTACATAACCATACTTTATATTCAATTGATATATAATAGCCGTTCTAACCTCTTCCAGGAAAATATTTTTAGAACTACTAGCTTTTCCACATTTAAGAAAATGAGGATTCTAAAGGGAACTGCTCCACCATACTATTGAGACTCTTCAGAGCTGTGATAGGATGTAGATCCCTTATTAGTTCTGTAAATACAATGTCTTCAGGCTATGTATAGCTGTCTTAGACTGCAGAAATGTCCTCTAACTAAACCCAAAGTCTGGCATCGTTAACTTACATAGTGCTGTAGCAACAAGTCTTATCATGGCATCTCTTTCTATGTTTGATTTGCTTTTTCCTAGAGAATTCAGATCTCTTCTGGTGAGATAGGAAGGCTTGAAAGCAATGAGGTTTTAGGATGCTCTATGTGACCCAATGTTGGACAGCCCTATTAAAGTGGTAAATAACTTCTTTGTAAACCTACTTGTCCTCCTTGTTTGTCATGTGCTTTTACTGAATCAGCTTTAACCAAGTGCAAAGACAACCTGCTCCAGGACTCCCAGGTAGCCTGAACTTCCCCATGTGGTCTTCACTTCCATGCTGGTTGTTATTCCCAACCAACTCAAAATCTATTGCTGTAACTGCAATGTCCTCTGACAACAAGATGGACTATGCAATCTCATTAGCCTTCTGGATTGGTTACTGAAATGATAAATGTGGGGCTCACACCCCCAAAATAAGTTGATACTTACAGGAAGGATAAATCTACCCAAATTCTTATTTTCATGGAGATAGCACAACAGTTCTTTTAAAAATATTGATCATAAATGAAATGATTTTTTTCAAAAATACATTTTTGGAAAGGCGTATTTACAGAGAAAAAGAGATACAGAGAGAGAAATTCCATCCACGGGTTCACTACCCAAGTGGTACAATGGCCAGAGTTGAGCTGTTCTGAAGCCAGGAACCAGGAGCTTCTTCTGGATCTCCCACATGGATAAAGGGTCCTTTCTGTTGCTATCATTACCCTATCATAAATCAAGCATATCTACTTTCTCTAAATCCTTTCCACTGAAATACAAGTTGTTAGAGCTTCATATACTGACAGCAATACAGTAGATCTTACAGTCTGGACTTTCTAATATTAAATCTCAGGTGAAATCAAGGGGCCCGTTGATTTCTACCAACATAGGCCGAAGTCTGAACAAATGTGTTACAAGTCTAGCCAAAAACATTAATCCTTGTCTTGAAAGTCTGTAAAATCATTCAGAAATGGAAAAAGAATTGTAAAACTTTCCTTCCCAAACACTTTCAAAAACATTTGTCTAAAACAGCCTACACTCACACCAGTGAGTGGATCAAGTTTTGTAAATTTGTAGTCCTTATGAATATACCAAATAATACACTAAAAATTCTTTAATTATAAACTGAAATAATTGTCTAGAAAAGTACAAATGAAAAGGGTGGAGAGAAAAAATCTTGTCTCTATAATGGAGAAATATTTCTAAACAAGCTAAAATAGGAATACTAGGAGAGTCATTATATCATTTAATGCAAAAAAAAAAATACTGTGTATCTTCCAGAAGTAACAGAACAGGGGGGTTTCAAATAAAGAAATTCTAGAATCTAGACACACTGATGGTACACGGGCTCTGCATTATAATTTCTCTGCACAATAGGATGCAGCAAGAACTTACTTCTACCTCAGGATACAGTCACTATACTGTCATATTTTTGATCTTTCAAGAAAATCAGAAATTTAGATTTTATATACAATTTATTAGCCTTTATAAAGAGATGAGTTCATTCCAGGTGGAAAAGACAGCATTATTGTTGCCTTAAAATCTCTGAACATGGGGCATTCACTATGATATCAGTGTTCCTTGGAATGCTCTTTTTAAAAATATTGATCACAAATGAAAATCCAATTAGAAAAAAAGCAAGCTATTTTCTTTTACCAGGTCTTACACAAGCATATATTTCTCACAATTCACAGTATGAGGCATTCACAGCTCTTCCTGTTCTGTACTTGAAGCTTCATATCAATAAAAGAATTAGTCCAGAGGTGCACTCCTATCAGTTCACATCCCATAGGTCAGTTCATGCAACAGCCTCTCTTGAAAAGACCTGGAGAAAGAAACAGACCTCATCGGGATCAGGCAGGCATCCTACAAGACAGTACAAATATTTGTAAATGTCATCAAATTCAGGATGGTTTTATTCAAGTTCCTTGCACAAATGTGTGAACCATCAAACTGACTTTAAATTTAACTTGCTCCAGATTGTGGAAATTCAGTAGCTACCATCTGCCTATTAAATATGAACACTTAGGGTGTAAAAACTTCTATCACATATTTTTGGTAATAAAGGGCTCAGTGTGATATGACTAATATTAATTTTGAACTCGTGCAGCAAGTATGATGAATAATATTATAACATAATTAGAGAAAATGCAAAGAGTTTATTTTCTTTTGGCAAAAGGGAAAATGTGGCTTATTTCTTAAGAGAAATATTTTCCAGTAGAATAAGTCTCTTTTGGAGATGAATTAGTTGTATCTATTAAAACACTTGTCAAACCACACTAAGAGGTACTACATTCAACACAAATTCGACATCAGTTTCAATCAAATTGAGTGTAACTTTCAACAAGCCATATAGTAATTTTTCAGTATGCTATTTTATATGGCCTTGCCATAATCATTGATACAGTAGGTCATGAGGATTTCAAAAATTATTTACCTAAGGAGATTCAGCACCTTTCTCACCTGCGTGGGTTATGTGCTCCTTGCTAGAGGTTAAATATCCATTACAAGCCTTTCTCATTGAATTAAGCTTAAAGACCCTATTTCAAAAGCTATTACAGTTTGCTTCATAACAAAGAGTGTCATGTCTCTTTTCATGTGCGGTTTTCCTTCTAAATAAAAGCTTTGTTGTTAGTATATTGTAGCACTCAAGCCACCTCCATCTATCAAGAAAACCTGGTAAAAGGAAGTGTGGGTATTACCCCCAGGGAATAATCCCAAAGTGATTAAACAGAATTATGTGCACACTTTAAAGTAACGAAGAGGCCATTAATTGTACAGAGGTGCATCCCAATAAATCCCCTATGAAAAATTTAGACTTCAGATTGAATAGTGTAGGATTTTGTTTTCTTTTAAAAGGGACAATGCATTGGATGTCTTGACGTGCCTCACTGGCCCATGAGTAGCTTTTATTGGTTTGAATTATATAAATAGTTTATTTTACGTTTTAAGGACATCACACTCTCATTTAGTTATTCTGATAGCTAGTTCTATTATTTAAAAAATAGTAATACTACCAAGCACAATGGTTAGGCCTGTAGCCATAACTGACTAATTTCACAGACCAAGCAACATTTTTCCCTGATTGACTTCTTCTTAGAGAAGCTATAACCCAAAAATAGTCTCACATGCATTCCTTATGAAAACCTGAAGTTCTATTTTGCATAGAAGTGTTTCTCAGCCAACAGGTCATGGCATTTGTGTGTGTATGGCCTAACATCATGACGTGGGTTGAAAGTGGGTTTTCTATTACAGGAGTCTGCAAATAAAATTTTAAATGGGTCCTAATTGATTCAATGGTAATTTTTTAACAGAGTCTAGAAGACATAGGTATATATATCTATAGGACCTAGCCTGATAACACAAGTTAAGGTCATTGTTAAGGTCTCTTCTTTCTGTGAGGTACAAGTGTGAAATTCTAGCTTAAATTTACAATATTTGTTGTGTTGTAGTATTCTCATAAAAAGTCATGAAGTGGTGAGCATTTGGCACAATACTTTGAGATGCCACTTGAAACAGCATCTCATGTGGGAGTGTCTGGGTAAGAGTCCAGCCTATAACCCTGATTCCAGCTCCTGCTAACATGTGCCCTGAAAGGCAGCAAGGATGGCTCAGATCCTTGGGTCTCTCCCACCTATGAGGAGGATCTGGATTGGTCTCCTGCACATTTGAGGAATGAACCAGTGGATGGGAGGAAGGAAGTGCTCTCTAATAGCAGTGGCCATGCTGATATCCAATTGGATATTTCATTCTGATGGAAGCACGTCAGCATTGCTAACAGAGACCAAGCACATGCTAGAATGGAGTGAATGGATTCAACTCCCAAAGGCTCCAACCTTGTAGGAAGCAAACCAGCATGGGAGTGGAAGGAAGCAGTGTAACCAGGCAGATCCCATCAGCTGGTGTGGAAAGACTGAAGAACTGTGTACACTTACGAGATTGCTGGGGGTGATCGCCCAGTAGGAACAGTCTCTACCCTCTGCCTCTGTGTTCCACAGAATCTTCCTGATATGATTCTGTTTGTGACTTTTCCCCCTCTGCATTAGCTGTGTGTCCTGTACTACAGGGCAATTCAGGTTGTATTTGGTCCCCAACCTGAAAAATCTCGTAAGATGGCCAGACCAAGAAGCTCTCCAAGTTTCTCTTCCCTCTCCCCGAGCTACTCTCCTCATCACATTCCCGTGTCCCTCTGTCCCAGGCCCAGCAGGCACAATGTCTATTTCAAGCTGTGGATTTATAAACAAAACAGCCTCCCTCAGTAGTTCAGGTCTGGTTTCCATTTACTACGTAGAAAAGAGGACAAATGCCTACATTTTATTTTTATAAAATGAAGATCACAATACAAAACTAAAAGATTATAGGAGGTCAAGGGGAAAAGAGAAAGTAGAAATGTCTTGCTAATATAAAGCAGGAGAGAAGCACTTGTTATTGTTCTCAGGTTACTGTTCATACCATTCTTCTAAAAGTGCCCTGTTTCATGGCTAGCCTAAGTTAAGGCTTACAAACTTGATGAAGGCATCGACCTCATACTGTTTCTAGAAAGCTTGAAGACTAAACAGAATCTGGCCCTACTATGTAGATGGCTCCATCTGCCAGTACCACTGACAGTGCTTCGAAAGCCCTGGGAATTCCCAAATAACCCACACTGGAGCAACGTTCCTAGTACAAGCAAATCATTGCATATTGGCAACAGTGCTCTGTTGGTGTCCAGAATGTTTATCCAGAATTTGACCTGCCAATGGCCCCAATCATCTGTTGTGTAATACAATTACCAGAAGCTACACACAATGTCATAGCCAGGCCACTACTTCCACTCTCAGCTCTCTTGTCATTCAGGCTAATTGTCCAAGCTGGTTCACATGTTTCCCCACGTTACTGCAGAGGTGTCTCCATTCAAACCCTGGATTACACCCCTTCCTTCAGTTATTCATTCACTTAATCATACATAATAAGCATCCATTAAGTCCTTTCATTATGTCAGCTGTGGTACTGGATAACAGGACTCACTTATTGTATAGGGAAGAGATGAAAACAACAACAAAAAAATGTGGAGCCAGATACCAAAAATCCAGCTGCTTGTGACACCAACATCCCCTGCTGGAGTCATCCTTGAAGTCCCAGCTGCTCCACTTCCTATCCAGCTTTCGCTAAGAGTCTGGGATGCAAGTAACC